TTTTCGAGAAAATCAATGAAATGTAGACTGCTTTTTCAATTGTCAACTAAATTGGGTATAATGGGTTGCCTATTCGACGAGCTCAATAATTTCTTTTTCGATTTCCTTTGCTTATAACAATATATCAATTCTTCTTTTAGCATTGAAAAGTATTAACGTATAGTCTTTTTGTAATGAAATGTGATTCTTTTTAGATAATATTAATATTGTTACAGGAAACACATTTAAAAAACAAAGTTCTTATCTCGTGCGCCCTGAGGTCAATTCACTGAGCTTGGATTGCACTTTCTCCCAGTTGATTTCCAGCTTTCTCCAGTTGATCCTCTTATTGTTGTTGTTCTTGTTGTTGAGTTCATCTTTCTGCTGAAATCATGGTGTACTTTGTTGGAGTGGACGTTGGAACGGGAAGCGTCAGAGCGGCTTTGGTCGATGCAACAGGAACAATCAGAAAGACGTCGGTGAAGGAGATCAAAATCTGGAACGACCTCGTCGATCATTACGAGCAATCGTCTGAAGACATCTGGTCGTGTTGCGTGCGATGCGTCAAGGTGAGAAATTCTTAAAAGAAAAGGAATCATTGATTAACGTTCATCTAAATGCAATTTGCAGGATGTTTGCAAAGATGTAGACCCTGAGCTGATCAGAGGTATCGGTTTCGATGCCACCTGCTCTCTAGTTGCCATCGATGTTAACGAGGAACCGCTCTCTATCAGCGTTTCAGGTATATAATTTGATTTACATAATCAACGATGATTGGGTTGCATAAATTGAGAATTCAAAAAAAAATGTGATATTTTCGCAGGCAGAGATGAGCAGAACGTTATGATGTGGCTGGACCATCGGGCTCAGGCGGAGGCCAAGTTTGTAAGCGGTTTGAAGCACGACGTTCTCAAGTATACGGGCGGATCTATATCGTTGGAAATGCAAACGCCGAAGCTGCTGTGGCTCAAGAAACATCTGAAGGAGCAATGGGATAAGAGCAGGTGGTTCTTCGATCTGCCGGATTTCCTCACATGGAAAGCGACCGGTTGCGATTCCAGGTGAATATGCATATGAGAATATATCTATATTGAATTCAGATCGCTGTGCTCTTTAGTTTGCAAGTGGACGTACAACGGGCGTGATTCGAGATGGGAGCGATCGTATTTCGAGCAGATCGGATTAGAGGATCTGCTGTTGAAGGACGCATGTAAGATTGGAGGAAATGTTAATTCGCCTGGTAAACCGATCGGCGATGGGTTGAGTCGTCGCGCCGCCGAAGAGTTCAATCTGCTGCCGGGAACTGCGGTCGGAGCGAGCATCATAGACGCCCACGCCGGAGGATTAGCGTTGCTCGGATGTTCCGTTGCCAATATCGACGAATCGTTCGAATCGCGGATGGCTTTGATCTGCGGAACTTCGACCTGTCACATGGTGGTCAGCGAGGGCCCGGTCTACGCTGCGGGCATCTGGGGTCCGTACTACGGGGCGATGGTTCCGGGACTCTGGTTGAACGAAGGCGGGCAGAGCGTTACGGGGAAACTCGTAGATCACATCATCGAAACGCATCCGGCAACAGCAAACATCAGGAGGAAACTGCGCGACGGTCAGCACGTCCAGCACTACCTCAACTCGCTTCTGGTAACCATGGCAGCAGAAGGTAACCACGACGACATCTGTTATTTGAGCGAAGACATCCACGTCTGGCCCGATTTCCATGGAAACCGCTCACCGATAGCCGATCCCACATTAAAAGGAGCTGTAAATACAAACAACGAGAGACATTAGCAACAAAAATCACAATTTTCTTCTTGCAGATTTGCGGTTTAACTCTTTCCACAACGGAGAAGAGCTTGGCCCTCTTGTACCTGGCAACTTTGCAAGCGCTTTGCGTGAGTGCATCTAATAAAATACCACTAAATAATTAAATAATTGTGCTTTCAGTACGGTACCAGACACATATTGGAGTCTCTGAAGAGTTCTGGTAACGCTTCCATCGAATCGATCCTCATCTGCGGCGGATTGAGCAGGAACGATCTGTTCAGAAGAACTCAAGCCGACGTCCTCGGTCTGCCCGTCGTCTGTCCCGAAGAGAAGGAATCGGTGCTTCTCGGTGCGGCGATCCTCGGTGCGGCCGCCGCTCAGCATTTCCCCACAATCGTTGAAGCCATGAAGATGATGGGCGGTAAAGGAATCGCGGCGTATCCAAACGATGCTCTCAAAGCTTACCACGACAAGAAGTACAGAGTATTCTTGAAGATGCTGGAACATCAAAATTTGTATAGAAGCATCATGAAAACATAGTCTTTACATTTTATTTAATTACTCGATGATCAAACATGCCAATTAGATTATCCGATACGCAAATTAAAGATAAAACTATGACTTTATCAACATTTCTGTAAAAAGTTTTCAAAGTTGAGCAATAAATTCATTATGAATAGAAAATGCTCTAGGTGTATATTTGGTTGCATACAGTTAAATTCCTCATTTTCTAAATCGCAAAGCAATATTTATGATTATATCGATTACATTCCATTGCGCTTATTTAGTTATATAACAAATATTAACTAATAACTGTAGTTATTAGTACATTTTTACATAACTATTTACATTATATTTTGCGCCATCTGTTTGCCGCGCGAAAGTTCAATAGGTGTTTGACAGAAGTCTTATTCGAACATAACCTTAATTTTTTGTTGTGGTGTTTCGTTTCGTGAACGGTTGAAGTATTTAAATAATCTCTTCGAAATGGTAAGTTTGTTGCTGCTAATGTGATTATCAATATGTTTCATTGTTTTTTTGTCTGTAGGCTCGTAACGCTGAGAAGGCCATGTAAGTGTTGTATATCTTGTGGTGTTCCCTCCCGGATGATTGATATGTTTCTGTTTGTAGGACAACTTTGGCTCGATGGAGAGCTGCACAGGTGGGCGAATCAGAGAAGCACAAGAAGAGACGTCCGCATTTGGCTTCGGAATGCAAGAGTTTGTACGCCTGCGAAAAGTGGAGGATGCAGATAATCAGGGAGATCGCGAAGAAGGTGGCTCAGATCCAGAACGCCGGTCTGGGCGAGTTCAGGATTCGCGATCTGAACGACGAAATCAACAAACTGCTGAGGGAGAAGCGACACTGGGAGGCTCAGATCAAAGAGCTCGGGGGTCCGGATTATCAGAGGGTCGGGCCGAGGATGCTCGATCACGAGGGCAAAGAGGTGCCTGGGAACAGGGGATACAAGTACTTCGGTGCAGCTAAAGAATTACCAGGTATCGTGTTGTTTTCACCCTTTCTTCTTTAATAATTAGATCGTGTGGAGGGAATAAGTTAAAAATTACGCAGCTATACAAATTCACGTACATACTTGAATATTGTTTCTTCTTCTTTGTGGTAACATTATTTTATCTTTGAAGCTTAAAAATAGACGCATCCACGGAAATCGAGTAATCGCGGAGCGAGGAAAGATAGAAAGAGAAACAGATGAAATACTATGTCTTTTTTTTTCTGTTTTGTTTAGGCGTTAGGGATTTGTTTGAGCAGGAGCCGCCGCCGCCTCCACGGAAGACGCGAGCTGAAATGATGAAGGACATCGACGCCGACTATTACGGATACATGGACGATGATGATGGTATTCTCGTCCCATTGGAGACGGCATCTGAAAAAAAAGGTTTGTTCGTGTCAAACTGAAAGAGATTGATCTAATTGGATTTGCTATTCTTGCAGCGATACAAGCGGCGATCGAAGGATGGAAATCGAAGAAGGAAGAGAGGTTGGCTTCGGGCGAAGTGGAAGCCGAGGAAGAGGAGGAGAATATCTACAAAATCGATGAGGTAATTTGCATAACAGTGATATCAGATCAACGAAATTAACGCATTTTTGCATTGTTTTAAACTCGACTCGACAGTCGGATGAAGAGGATGATCATGGGATGGAACAGATGATGATCGATGGTTCGGTGCAAAGATTCACCGCCCATGTGCCGGTGCCGACGCAGCAGGAAGTGGAGCAGGCGTTGCTAAGACGCAGGAAACAGGAGCTTCTCGAGAAGTACGGGATAGAAGAGGGAACGACGACGAATTAACGTGATCGACTTACCTCGCGTTTTGTTTCCGTTTCTACTGCCTTGTAATTAATAATAATAATAATTAAAATAATGTTGTTGTTGTTGTTGTCTGATGATGATTAGGGGCCCTCCAATTTGATTATGCCACGACATGTGAGCGCGAACTCCATCACCGCCTCCCCAAATTTTCTCTTGTTCGACTTTTCCCTGTTTGAAACAAGAAAATGAATTTGTTTGCGCAGATAGAGGATTTGAACAACATACTTTAAGATCATCTTGATGAAATACGCCTTCTGTTGCGACGTGATCTTCGTCGTCGGGAATCCCTCCTGCTGCAGAAGACCGTTCAGCCATCGGGCGAGGTTATCACAGTATTTCTTGTTGAGCGCGAACATCACGTCGGAGAAGACGTCTATGGCGCTCCTCGGACCCGATCCACCCAAACTGAGGAGCACCTTCATCAGCAGCGATTCACCGTAATTCTGGACGACGGCAGCGTGCGCGTTGTCGCGACTATGCGAGATGAAACTGCAGAGGAAGGTGGCCACGATTTTCACCGTCTGCGTTTCAGGCATGCTCAGGCAAAAGATGGCGCACTCGAAGACGGAAGACACCTCTATACTGGGACTATTGTTGATCAGATCAGGAACCTTCTTGTACACCTGCGCCAACATCGAGAAGAACGATTCGATCAGATCGGACTTTTCTGAGAGTTGATTCGTGCTGCTCAGATTCGCGAACACCTGCAGCGAGGTGTTCGTCAGTTCGGTCATCAGTTGACGCATGTTCTGAACGTGCTGCTCCTCTTTGCCGAAGAGGATCATCAGGGTTTTCGATAGTTGAAGGACGCTCGGTTGCGGCGTCTCCCGGTTTACGCTCAGAAGAAGGTTCATGTAGTCCGATACCAGGGGTCTGCTGTCGTCGAGCAAGGTCGTCAAGGTGTGCTTCAGCATGTTGCAGAGGACTTCGATCACCTCTTTGTTCGCATGGTACTTGGACCCGATCATCGTGTACAGATGCATCGTGTTCTGCACGACGACGAGCAACGGCTGCACGTCTTCGTAAGTGAAGAGGGTAAGGTAAAGCGAACCGTAGAGCGAGGAGAGCATCTTCAGACGCGTTATAAGTCTCGTCGCCACTCCGGGTCCCTATTTTTATAAAAAAAAAAATTATAAATTGTAGAAGTGAAACCTTTACATTAAAATATAAAGATAAAAACTTACTGGAGGTTGACCTAATACGTATTGGATTTCCTCAAAAGATGGGGCCACGATAACGTTAAGATATTGCATCACATTAGCCACCGGCAGTATGCTCATAACCTTCCCGACGCTCGACATCAGTCGTATGCACTCGGCCAGCTTAAAGTTTCCGCTTTGCAAACAAGACTGCAAATTACAACCAATTAACAATTACTACAACATCATTATTGATATATAAAGTATAATTACCTGACATGATGCCAGGATGTGGTCGGTGTACGGTTCCAGATGTTTCTGGCAGTTGTGGGTGAGATCCTTCAACGCCATCGTGGCGCTGGGCGTGACTTCGGGATTGCTCAATCCAGAGATGACCAATGGGATTACGTTCGTTATGACATCGGGATGATCGGTCATCCATTCCGAGTACGCCCCCACGCATTCGAGGGCGGACGATAACACTTTCGTGCGCAGATTCGCGTACGGTATATCCTTGAGGACGACCATCAGCTTCGGGAGGTACAGATTCTCCATCTCGATGCACTCGGCGATCGCGCAGAACGCATGCAAACAACTGTCCACCCAGTTCCAATGCGACGGTGAATCGTTGCACTTTTGCAGCGCGTTCTCCAGCTGCACGATGAGAATATCGAGCATCTCTAGATTGAGCACGTTGTAGCAATACATGAAGGTGTCGGCTATATCTTGTCGGTAGCATCGGAACATCTCCTTATCATCTAAAGTCCAAGTCTTACTTTCTTCGTCGTTGGGTAACATAGATTTCCTCAGCAGCATCCCGACCAGCTGTCTGTAGTACGGTTTCACGATCACCAGAGACATGGTGCATTCCTCGCTGTCCATCGACAGAATATCGTCCTAATGGGGAACAATTTGTACGTTAAGAAGAGTGTAAATAATGTTAATATTTTTACTTAGTTTACTTGCAGCGTATACCAGAAGCTGAAAGTGACGGTGCTGCTCGTCTCGTCCACAGGATACGTTCCCGGCAGATCAGAGCATTGAAGTATGCACTTGAACAGATCGTCGGAGATCTTGTATTCCACAGCGTTGCTGCTTCGCAGCGTCTCCACAAACAGTTTACAGTGGCTGTCCGCCAGACTCACTAGCAATAAATAAATACTCGTTAAAATATCCTGAAACCATAAGATAAGTCAGGCATTGGGGAATGGGGCGGAGTGTCGTCTTCGATTCACGCCTACCTTATTCGGCTCCGGATTACCCGTCTCAGTCTCTAAAATCTTGTTGAACTTTTCCAATATATTCGCCGAATGCTTCAAAATGTACGACTTGTATTTGCTGGTGTGCGGATGCTGGATGACCGCAGTCAACGCCTCCAACGTCACCTCCGTCAGTTCCATCTCTTCGGACGACATGCCTTCCGGATCGATCCGATTCCTAAACAAAAAAACGAATCAATACACCAATCCGATCGGCCACAATCGCGAGAAACTAACCAATAAACGAAGCACGTCAGGTCAACCAATAAATTCATGATTCTCGTGCACTCGTCGATGTTGACTCCGCCCAATTGGATCCAGGCGGAGGCGCATCTTGCCGAGTGCAAGTACGTCGTCAGATTGGACATATCGAAACTGTGCAAACAACAAGAAAACCGTAAAACTTGCAATTGTATTCATCATCGATTCCACTCACTTGGCATTCGGGATCGGAACCAGACACATCTCGACCACTTTCAAAATATCTTTGGACACTTCTTGAAGCACATTCTTGACGCGATACCTTTGACTCGTCGCCAAAGTCATGCTGGAAAACTGAAACGAAATCATTTGAATCCAATCAAGTCAAAATAATAAACTCACTTCTTCGGGGATGACTGTTAATATTTCCAATAAAATCCATATCACGCGTTCCGGCTCGACGTTAGGCAAATACTGAGGCTGAAAGCTGCTCACCAGCTCCTCGAACGCCTTGGGCCAATGTTGCGGAACCGTGTGAATTATATACGCAGACAACTACAAAAAAATATTAACATCAAACATCTCAATTCACTTCTATAGACTTACAGCGATGCATAATCTATTTAACACAATCTTGGGGCCCATCGCAAAGCTCACTATGGACTCCAAGATTCGCTTCTTCAACACCTCATAGTGATCCTGAGGCACCTCATTCCAATACTTTAGTATTTTCGTGTGCAGCGTCGTCGCTGCAAAGAACTGCACTTCTGAGCCCTACGAAAAAAAAGATTAATATTAATCAAATCGGTTTCCAATAAGATTGTGATTAAATTACCCTTTGCGGATGCAGCAGATCCCAGACAAAGCTCCAAGCCTGCGGCGAATTCTGTGCATTTGTCAACCACTTGTGCGCCTCCGCCTGCTGCCCTGCCTCCGACCTATAGAACAGGCACACGGCCTTCTCCAAATTCTCAGCTGTAAATTCCATTCTAACCTGCAAAAACAAAAGATCAACAAAAAAAATAAAATAAGTAGGTGTTGGAATTAGAAGAAAAAAAAAAGAAGAATGAAATGATGCAATGTTTTAGGGGTTTCCCATTAGAATGGAAAAGTGTACCTTTTCTTGCGTTTCTCTTCAGCTACATTATTGTTGGAGAGCGTGTCGAGATCCTCCTCAGCCGTCGTCGTTTTTGTTTTTTTCAGACTCTTCAGCTGTTTTCGCACACTGAGTGAAAATGGGAAAAAATTTCAAAAATTCTTCAACGTCAATTTCAGCGACCCGAAATTAGTCGCCAATTCTTTCATCATTCTTTTTTTTCTTGTGCAAATTTTTAATTGCAACTAATTTCAGTGCGTTTTATTAATTACCTATTATTATTATTACAAAATCATCAATTATTATCAATTCAATTAGTTTCATTTTGTGTCCTTTCAAGCAAACTCCGGAAGCTCTCAACAAATGCGTGTTATTTAATCAACGTGTTAATAAAGTTGCCTATCTCAAATTTCATTCAAAATTCTTATTTGTTTAATTTACAATTGTATTAATTACTCATGTTCATAGTTTAGTAAACTAAATTAATTGGTGATAGCAATTTCTATAAACCAATAAACGTTATCTAAAGTTGTATTTTGTTATCAAACTATTTAAGCGATCGGATTAGAATTGCATTACATAATTGTACATGTAAAAATGCTCGTTGTTATCGTTAATTCCTAACGATTTGCAAACATTTCATTTTGCTTGAAAAGTAAACATATTTGTAAAGTTTACTAAGACTTTATACAGCAGAAGCTATTTACGTCTTTATCGATAACTTAAGTTGAGTCGATTCGATTAGTAAAATTGATAATTTAATTTGTAATAGAATTATTCATCGATAACATATGATATTTTGTTAAAAATAAACGTGAATTTCGCAATATACAAATATTTGATTTATGATTCGTGCCATTCGTAAGCACTCTAATTATTTATTGATTTAGTTTGTATATAAATAAAGTACTTGAGATTATAGCTTTTCAGGTAATTTTTTTTTTAAAACGAAGCGGATTATGTATATAAGCAGGTGGATTTTGTTTGAAATGTAGCATTATAATGTGCGGGATGTATATCGCGGTGTGCCTTGTGGCGTTCTTCGCCTGTTGCTATGGTAATTATTTATAGTTTAATTGTTATGTTGCTAGTGATGGATGTTGGCTTGTCGTCGTAGCAACCCTTTATATTTAAAGTTGGTTTGCGAGGGGATGATTTGTCTCATCATTTGGTGTGCGTGTTTAATTTCTTTATTCGATTAACATTTTTGTAACTTTTTGCAGCGGCTCCAAATAAATATATAATTGGTGGTGAAGTGGTTCAAGATATCAAAGCAGAGTTTCCCTATCAAGTTTCGGTACAATGGGGAGATTTTGGTAGTTACTATCATATGTGCGGTGGTGCAATAATTGGACCAAAGCACGTGCTCACTGCTAGACATTGCTGTGAAAAATACAAAAAGGAACAACTATTTGTTGTAGTTAATGAAGATAATGTAATAATAGAAAACAAAAATGACAAAAAATTGGTTGGAGTAAATGAAAAATTCTTCAACGATGAAATTAAGTAAGTGTTAATACATTCTGATTACAAACATTTTGCACAACCTGTCTACTTAATCTTGATCATAGAAATTTAAATTCATATTTTGTTTGCAGTACAGGAGCAGTACCACCAGAAAATGAGGAAGAGCATGATCTTTGTGTACTAGAAGTGAAAGAGGACTTAACAACAACTTTAGGTGGTGAGGTAATATCTATGTCTGATCCAGATGATCCCGACGATCCAATAAATGATCCATTAAAAAAGTTCACATTGACTGGCTGGGGTATTACTTCTGATTCAAGTGAAATTATGGGTGATGCTCTAACAAAAGCTTCCGAATTAAGCATTTTAAAACGGAAACCAAAAAGTACATTATTTGAAGATCAAGCTTATGTAGTAAAAGAAGGCGAAGACACTGATAGTAAGAATCAATTATTAAAACAAATCACAATGTTCTACATCACTATCATTTTTTTTTCAGCTTGTGAATATGTATTAACTCATTTAGGATTCAGTGCTGACTTGTTAAAAGACAATCAAATATGCACTAAAACTAAAGACGATACGACGATACTTACAACATGCAAAGGTGACTCAGGTGGACCATTAGTATATTATGATCAAGATCCTGAAAAACGTATATTAGAAGGTATAGTTAGTTGGGGTATCTACCCTTGTGGCAGAGCTGGAATTCCTAATATTTATACAAAGATAGCACCATATAAGAAAAGTATTGATGCAATTATGCAATAATAATAATAAACAATAACAATAAATAACAATAATAAACAATTTAGCTAATAATAAAAGTAACAAATATATTCGTTATTGGAAAAATTTACAAAGACTGTAAAATACTTCCACATGTTGTAACCATAGAATAAAATCTATATAAAACTTACAAATGTGCATCATTTAACTTCTTTTCCTGCAGACGTTCTACGAGCATGGTTAAACAGTGAAAAATGATAGTTGTGTCAGCCAGTTTGTTTGGGATCTCTTTAATTCCATCAAAAAAAAAAATCAACCTTTCCTTTTTGTACACTTAAAAAAAAAACAAGAGAGAGATTGAAAAATAAACTAACTTAATAGTAACAGAAGAAGAAAAAAAACAATACTTAAATTAAAGGTATAATAAAATTAATTATTCAGTGTCTGTGGATCCGTTGGCTTGGGTGAGGAAGACCGCAGCAGGAGTCGCCGCGTTCTGTTGCACTTGTATCAGCTGGGGTTGAGCGGCCGCCTGTATAGGTGCAGCCTGTATGATGATCGGTTGCGACGAGTTACCCTGCAGTTGCATCCGAATAAGCTGCAACTGCTGCGGCGACAACTGAATCGGAATCTGCTGCACCTCTCCACTGGGCGTCACGATCTGCTGCACTATCTGAAGCCCAGCTTGCGACGCGGCCGACGTCGGACTGGTCTGCACCTGTTGCTGCTGTTGCGACTGTATCATCACCGTGGCCTGACCACCGCTCGACGGTGACGGAGGCGTTGTAGCCTCAATCGCCGGACTCACGTGGACGGCCTGTATCGTTGTCTGCGGCTGCTGCTGCTGTTGTTGCTGCTGCTGCTGCTGCACCACCTGTATCGTGCCCTGCGGTGTTGCGGTCGCCGTGGCCGTCGTGTTCTGCTGCAGGTTGGCGTGGTGCTGCTGCGCGAGCTGAAAGTAGTACTGCACCTGATCCGGATTCACCTTGCTCGTCTCCTCCTTCGGTTTACTCGGCTTGATGTCGTCCCGGGGCACGATATCAATCAGAAAATCAAACTGGTCGAATTTCGTTATCGCCATCGCGATATCGTTACGCTGCAGCGTTCGCCTCTTGTTATCCTCCGTATGGATCCATGAGCGAAGCGTCAGCTCGTGTATGAAGATCTCGGCGGCCTTGGCGAACAGCATCGGCGCCTCCGCCGAGATCATCTTAACGTCCTCGTCCAGCTTCATTATTTTCTTGATACGAGCCAACGGTAACGCCTGCTGCTTCAGATCCATCGTCCGAATCTGCTTGATTTCCTCCGTGATCTTCGGCCAGAACTGGAGGAGAGCGGCCTGAGCCTCGCTCTGCGTCTGCGACTGATCATCGCTGCAGGTGGTGTGCGTCTCCGGTTTCTGTTCCACCTCGTTCGTCTCCGCGTTCACAAAGTAAACTGACATCCTTCACGCGATGATCGTGATCGGTGTTGCTCTTGATCCACCAATCGCAATTCACAAACGCAAACTATTTACACAATTCATAAACACATTTTACTAATGTTATTGTTGTTACGAGCACCCAAACCGATGCAATCTTTGTTTTGACTTTTCTTTGACATTCGCACCGACGCGAATCTAGTCGCGAACATAACGTAACATTTCGTACAAACCTGAAGACAGGAAACAGTTATTGAATCGTATAGGAATTAACTTGTTTCTGCTCGTAAGGTATGCAACTCAACAAACATGTAACATTAGTCTGAATGAGACAATCACTGTTACCAACCGACCAAAGAAATAGTTCTTTATCAAAATTGATATATATATATATATAGTACGCATGCTTCTTATAAGATTGTATGTGTGTGTATATATGTATAAATGTATGGTAAAGATGGCAGATCCACAAGCAGGTATGTTTATAGCATGTAAATATTTATTTGTAACGCGAATTGTTGTACAAAATTTGCACTCACCCGATCTCGCCAAAGTTTTCGCCCGCCGTAACGATCGTCCGTCGCGAATCACAACAATCACCATAACAACTGCTCTTTCGTCTTTTGTTTCTCTCGCTGCGAACTGCGATGCACTGGACACAACCTCCTGGATGATTTTCGCGCCCACCGCTAAAAATTCCGATTCCATGGTAACGATTGTTTAACGGGGTTTTATGTTTTGGTAAAAGTGCGTTTGCAACTGAACATCATGTTTAATTGATTGCTGTGTTTGTTGATGTTGTCCGATCGGTTCTCATTGTTTTGCAGTGAAGTCTCCAATTATTATGAAAGTGGACAGTCCTGTCGAGGATAGGAAGGAACAGGAAGGTCTGTGTTGCATTCTCCGATTTTGTTGGTTATAATTTTTTTTTGCTTTTTCTAGAGAACGAATCGAACAATGAGGTAGCTGGGGGAGCTCCACAGGTTTGCTCACCGAACAGGAGATCTTTCATAGCGGCGTCTAGGTTCGGTGTGAATCCGTTCGCGCTGAGACCGAACAACGTGTCCACGAATTCACCCTCATCGAAGATGAGCAAATCAGTGCTGAGGCCGTCACAGCTGGGGCAGATGAAGCCGTTCGCACTGAATCCGAGCAAACTGAACGCGTTCGCCAAACCTTCGAATAATAAGGAGGAGATGGATGAGGATGATGTTGCTGCTGTGACGACGACGACGACCACAGATGATGATGCTGTTGCTGCTGCTGATACGACGGAGGAGAGCAGTTCGAACGGTGATGCGCCCAAATTCATGCCACTGATCGTGTCGACGGAGAAGAGCGCCGGCGACAGCAGCAGTCTGATAGGACCACCACCGTCGACGACGGGGAGCGCTTCGTCGCACAGCTTCGTCTTCGGGCAGAATCTGCAGGAACGCGTCGTCGCCGATGGAGCCGGCGAGGAGCCGAAACCGTCGACGAGCGTCCCGACGAACGGCACCAGCGACATGCTCTTCAGCAGCGCCGCCGTCAAGGAGAGCCCCACCGTCTCGACGCCCAGCAAAACGTTGAGCGAATCTGCACGCGAATACGAGGAGCAGCGGGCGAACAAACGAAAGTACGATGAGGTGGAGGTCGTCACCGGCGAGGAGAACGAGACGAACATCCTGCATCTCTGCTGCAAGCTGTTCGCGTTCGACAAGGCCGTGGGTAATTGGCAGGAGAGAGGCAGAGGCACGCTCAGACTGAACGACCAGCAGATCAAAGATGCCGACGACAGGAGTTACACGCAATCGAGAGTGCTCTTCCGCACCACCGGCGTCCTCAGGCTCATCCTAAACACGAAAGTAAGTAATCATCATTTAAGACCAAAACGAATCGATTAATTTTCATGTTGTTGTTGTTGTAAATAGATTTGGGCAGAGATGACCGTCGAGCAGGCGAGCGCGAAGAGCATCCGATTCACGGCGATGGACGCGTCCGGCGAAATCAAGGTGTTCCTGGTGATGGCCAATCCGGAGGAGATCAAGCAACTTTACAGGCATCTCAAGGAGAGGCTCAGCAACGAGCAGAAACTGCAAGACCTGAAACGAGTCAACCGAAAGGTCGACAACAAAGACGAGGGTGACGTTGAGGAGGAGGAGGAAGACGACGACGATGCGCAAAAGAAGGTGAAGAAGCTCAAGGACAGCGGTGAGGAAGTGGCGAAAGGGGACGGGGATAAGAGCAAATGAACCGCAGCGTGTCACGTATAGTTATTATATCATTTTGTTCCCTTCCAAATTTCATCGTCGTCGTCGAGTGAAATCAGTTTGTGAGAGAGCATCCAACCAAGTGGATTGCTGCATAAGTGTTGTGCGTGTACGTGCGTCTTTTTGGGATGCGAGAACTCAAACACACGGACAGGCAATAAAAGTAATTCAAAACATATTCCTTTTTTTATATATATATGTATACTATCTCAGTTTTTTTTTGGGAGAGGAGCGATTTTTTTTTCCGGACAATCAAAGAGCCACGCCCACCCGTAAACGAAACCTGCAACTAACACCCGCCCCGCCCCCTTTTTTACCAAACTCCACCCACTAACAACGCCCCCGCCCCACACAGACAAGCGAGTTGGATAGTTATTATTATTATATTGTAAAATTTATACATATGCAGATGGAAGAAGGAACAGAAATCGTTTCTATCTTTTTATCTCTTTTTTTTTTTAATTATTAATCTTAACGACTTGTTTTTCTTTTGCAACATTCAATAGTAATAAATAAAACTGGAGAGAGTAATGCAACGGACAATTTATCAACTTCTCTAAATGAAAAACAAACAAAACAAAACAAAAACGGTATGCGTTTATCTTAATCAGTTTTCCTTTCGTTTATTTTATTATTATTTTTTTGTAATTTAATATATAAATTATTATTATTATTATACATAAATAATTGTTTCTTTATTATTAATATTATTATCATTTTTTTTACTCTTATGTCGGCCAGAAGTTGATTATTTATTTAATTAATTACTTTAATTATGAATAAACAAATAGGAGCGTTTAAAAAGGGAGACCAAATATATTTGTTAAACGAACGAAGAACGTTATTAAACCGTCGTCTATTTTTTTTTATAACTTTCATTATAATTATTAATTATTAAAATTGATGTCGTGCAAAACACACTTTCATTACTTATTATATTTTTCAGTTGATTTCGATTGAATGTGAAATATGTATGATGCATAAACGAAACAGATTATTTCTTTAATTGTTTCCTTTTCATTCAATCAATCTAAATTTCCCAACGATTTATAATATTGTGTGCGCGCGTGTGTACGACTGGTTGCTTGTACTAAAATTTTAACAAAATTGTTCCACAGTTTAATTGTGTATTAAAATGCATACGATATTACACCTATTTCTATTCATTCTCCCATCATTTTTGTTATATTGTCGAAAGGTGCCGTAAAAGAAGACTTTAGTGCTGGGTTTGTTGGAAAGAAACTATTGGATGATGTTTGTTTGTTATTTTTTTTTTTCGGGAAAATATCAAAATATAAAATATTTATTTAATTTCTTTGCTCGCAATTCCATTATGATTTTTTCTTCTCTCTTTCTCACTTTCCATATATATATATACATACATTCAGACACCGAATAACCGATAAATTTTAGTTTAGCGCTGTATGTGTGTGTGTGTGTACGTACGTGATTCCATATTGTATTATAATTATTATTGTTGTTTTTTTTTTGTCCTTAAACGTAGATGCAGGAAGGGTCGGGGTTGGATGTTGAACGATCTCAGCTCTCGTGGATGTCGAGGGCCTTGTTGAGGGCGTCCAGGTCGCGATTGTCCAGGGCCGGCCTCAGATCGGACCTGTTCATCAGCGAGATGCACATCCTCAGAGTGGACCAAATGGTCTCGGACATCTGAGACAGACCACCGACGTTCTTCACGTCCTTGCCGCGGGCCTGCTGATTGAGGGCAAGCAGGAAATGCTCGGCCGCCTCCTTGTAGGCGCTCAGATTGATGCAGGTGATGCCGACGTTGTAGCGGGCCCTTATGAAACCGGGCTCCAGATTCAGAGCCCTGTGGTACGCGTCCACGGCCTGCTCGGGATTGCTACCGTTTGCCAGCGTCGCTCCTAGGCGATTCCATAGTTTAGCATCCTACAAATCAATCTATTAGTTACTGCGAGGATGATTTCGCTAATTCCTCTTACATCTGATTTGACGCTGAGCGCTGCCCTGAAGCAGTCGGCAGCCTTATCGTACTCTCCGGACAAATTGAAGAGAACGCCCAATCCGCACTGGATCTCGTAATCCACGTCCTGCGGCTTCAACTGCGCCGCCCTTATGAACATGTCCTGCACCACCTTGTGATGCGCTCTGATAGAGATAATAACAATTCATTACATACATCGAATATACTACGAGATTGATCATGCTGTTAAGACTACTCGCAACACTACAACTTGTTACACACAAATAAGCTCTAAATAAAAGCACAAAAAGTACTGGACTTTGTGTGCGCAAATCTACAAAATGTATATATATGTACAAAATTTAGAACGGATGCTGCGGATCCACCGACACCGGCAAACTTACTGATCTATTAAACTTGAAACTTGCCCGGAAAGATCGAAGTCCGGCGGCACGAGCGACGCGTACTGCGGGTTCCTCTGCATCCAGTTGACGAGGCTCTGACACGCCTGCCTCGGGTAGCTCTCGTTCGTGTAACTGACCGCCAATCCCATCAAGGCGGTCAGATTCTCCGGCTGCAACTCGACGCACCTCTTCAGCGCGCAAATCGCGTTCGGATCCTAAAAGTAAAACGAAAACGGTTAAAATCATATCAATTTTGCTCCATCTAATTACCTGTTCGTTTTCGGCTTGGGTGGTGCCCAACAGCTGCCACGCCTCCGCATTTTCCGGCTCCTTCTTCACGGCCGCCTCGAAACAGAGGACAGCACTAGGAAGATCACCTTTACTCAGCATATCCTTCCCCCTGGACAGCGGATCCAGGATATCGAACATCGGATTCTCCTCCGTAAAGTTGTACTCCTTGTACGTGTCGTAATAATCGTTGAAATCGGAGATCCACGGATGATCCGCCGTCTCCTCAGTATCTGCAAGCTTCTTCCACTCGTCCTGCAGACGATCCCAGAACTTTGAATTGTATTCCCCATCTGAAAAACAAAAACAATTTCAACTGAACTGAACGCACGTAACATTAACAATTCTTACTGTTTGACGCGACGTAATCATCGGCCATCGATTCCGCCGTCTCCTCCTTGTTCATCGTCCTCAAATTATTTACATATTCATCACCCCATTCGACAGCTTCATCGTTCACAGAAACCTCGCCGTCTTGAATCGTGGCTTCGCCATCTCCCACTTGCTTCATGAACTTCATGAACTGAAAACGATACAAATGATATTTCTTTTTCGATTATCGATATGATAACGCACTTTAGAATATTGGAATTGTGGGTCATCCAAGTTATCCAAGAGTTCATTTGCGCTCGCCTGGACGGCGACCGCTTCCCCCGTATCCTGCCGGAATTCCTCCGCCCATATTGAATCCTGCTGCAGCGACTGATGCGTGTTGTGCTCTTGAGCCGCTATCTCCGACCAAATATCCTCGTTCTCGTTCACCTTAAAAAACCAGAAAATGTGAACAAGTTTTCCAAACAATAGATTTGCATTGTAATTACGTGAAAATGTTTTCCATCCTCAATATATTGCAACGCCCAAACATCATCATTCAAATGATCCTTCACTGTTGAAGCAGGCACCGGTGGCAGTGAAGCCCTCTGCGACTCAATCTCGTGCATTTCCCTCATCAAATCTACAAAATAAATAATAATAATGAGAATGTTTTAAAATTTGATAAAATTATCTCACCATCCATCCGGAATGTCTGTGGGGCCATCCTGGTCTCCTGCAGGAACTGCTCGACCAGTTGATCCGAGCTGCTTGGAAATGGCTGGCCGTGGGTCTCAGCGAGGGCATGATCTCTTGTTAAATGGGTGGTCAGCTTGTGAAGGGGGTTGGCCTGGCCACAGTTGGCCTCCGTTAGCTGTCTGAATGCCATCCTTCTGTTGTCTGCAATTATAAGACGGCGAATTGAAACAACCTGTTCGTTTCCCGAGCATTCACACGACTGACAACCATAACACACACACGCACTATGGATGAGACGTCGAACCACACGGACCTTTAACCCCTAATATTGGGACACGACAATGCAAACAAATTGTTGAGAAAATCGCGCCCAACGTGAAACGATCGAGACTCACCGAACACAACGATTAATAACGATTCTACGAGTAATTGGGGACGGCCTCAACTGGTGGTATCACTTGATTTAGGAGGAATTTAAATCCACCATCGACATTTTGCTTATCGAAAATGACAGTTCGTGACACTTCACTTATCGGCAACCGGCGTGACAAGTGAAAATATAAATATTCGCATGTTACGCAACCCAATTCACACGTTCCAACTGATAAAGCCTATGCCGTATTTAATTTGAAATTTACACTAATGATTAGGCAACAAATTCATTGGCAATCTGTGATGCGAGAGCAACAAAAAGTTGGAATATGTTGTTATTATAGACTACCATTTTCGCACTTTTAAACAATGAGAACGGATGAGATGTTGCGGATAGAATCAGATGATCTATGAATATATTATTATGTGTTTATTTGTTTTGCGGTTGCGTGTGTGTATATTGTTTTTCCCCACTCGAAAATGAGGACATGATTTATATATATTTATATATAATCGATTCAGGGTTAAGTTTGCGTGAAACATTTGAAAAAGAAATTTGTGCGTGGCCGTGGAAACGAGTCCATGGGCCACTCCCACCACCAAAACGTATCTTCTCGCACGTACAGCAGTAGGAGGCCCTGGCCCACCTCAATCAAATATGGCTTCCTCGATTGGCCATTGTTTATAAACAGCGACAACAATTGCAACGAACAAACAAACAAAACAAGAGAGTAGTAATAGTAGTGGTATAAGAAGAGAGTTGGTGCTGTTCAGTGACTCACCAAGATGGGTTGCTGCTTATCCTCGGACGACGATGAAGAAACCAATAAACCGGAGGACGCGATCACCGGTCCAAGGACGTGCACGGACATCCTCTGGTTAACGCTGTACATCCTCTTCTGGTGCTTGATGGTAAGCGAAGCGTCCATCCACCGATCGTCACCACTTCCGTTGTTGTTGTTGTCATGACAATTGAAACAAAATCAAATTGCAGGTCTTCGTCGCCGCCTTCTCCTTCGTGTACGGCAATCCGATAAGGATAATCAACGGATACGACTCGTTCGGCAACACCTGCGGCACGAGCAACAACAAGGGTATGGGCAACATGGACTACACGGGCCTCGACACCAGCTCGAAACCCTACTTGCTCTTCTACGATATACGAAAGCTGAGTAAATCGCTGAAGATATGCGTGAACGAGTGTCCCACAGAGACCATGAACAAGGTGGATGACATCAATGCGTATTACAAGAAGACCGGCAACAAGATCTGCAATTACGATTTCAATTACAACGATTTTTCCAATAGGAGCATCGACAAGAACATACTGTCGGGCAGTTATGGTCCGTGCCCTGTCCTTCCAGTCTATGCCAGGTGAATTATTACATCATCAACATTTTTAATGATGTCATACACTACACACACTTATATTATTGCCAACAATAGCATGACACCATTCCTAATTCCATTTCAATTTAGACTCATCAACAACATCGTCATCTTGTTATTTGAATATTCAAATTTCTTCTAGCACACCAGTGTTGAATCGATGTGTACCAAAGCCAGTGAAAGAACTGACGAACGGTGTTCTCGGGGACTTCTATTCGTTCCTGAACAACTGGGACACCCTGGAGCAGATCCTCGGTGATCTGTACAACACATGGAGGGAGATGTTTGGGTTGGCCTTTCTTGCACTTTGTAAAAAAAACCACTCACCATCATCGGCAAACCTAAAAATATTTACCCCCTTCGAATATGCTTCTCTTTTCCAGTGCTCTCCTTAGCCGTCATATGCATCTTGCACCTTCTGGCCTACTTAGTCTCCTACATAATAATGATACTGGTCTCCATTGCGAGCGTCGGTGGCACAGCCTTCCTCTGGTACACCTACCACGACATCAAGCACAACCTGGACAAGACCAACAAGAGTATGCTCTTGCTTGAATCCGTTCGCAACGAAACGGCCTTCCTCTGGTACTCGATCATAGCCACGATAATCACTGTAAGTCTTTCCCGATGTATCTATGCAACCAATTCGACACGTTCAAAATCGACCAATCAGCAACGTCGTCGTGGGCGTGCACTACTTTTAAATGCTTATCACAATTGAACAATTCGATTAGTTATTAATAAGACTATTGTTATTATTTAGATAATAATACTTTTGCTGGTGATCGTGATGAGGAAGAAGGTGGATTTCCTGTCGGATCTCTTCAAGGAGACGTCGAAATGCATTCTGCATATTCCGGCTCTATTCTTCCAGCCGCTGTTCACCTTCTTAGTCCTTCTCGGATTCTTCAGCTTCTGGGTCTTCGTGATCGTAAGTAGAATCATGATAAATGTTCAATTATTATTGTTTGATCGTTTAAGCTTTGCCTGGCGACCGCGTATTATCCGGGAAAGACGGGCATCTCCACGGTGATACCGAGCGAAGGAAGCACCAGCGAATTCACGACGACTGCGACGAAAGTGGGTTTAGTGGAGAAGCTCGAGAATTTGAATCTGAGCGACATCAAGAGTGAGTCTCGTCTCCCTGAGCTTTTTCTAAGCTTATTTACATTTCGTTTCGCAGAATTGACTATAGTGGAGTTCATCGATCCGACTTGGGTCAAGTACATGTGGTGGGTGTACTTCATCGGCTTGATATGGACGTCCGAGTTCATCATGGGTTGCCAGTCGATGGTCATCGCCGGATCCGTCGCCCATTGGTATTACAGACACAAGTACAAGGACAACGATCACGTCAGCTACGCGATCTGCAAATTAATCAAGTACCATTTGGGATCCGTGGCCAAAGGCTCCTTCCTCATCACCATCTTCAAAGTGCCGAGACTGATCATGATGTACATACATTCGAAGTAAGCTCAAGTCGTCGATTCTATTATCGATGATATTTCTAAGATATTTGCTTGCAGATTGTCGCGCAACAAGGATAAGGGTAGCGAGTGCGCCACGTGCACGCTCAAGTGTTGCATCTGCTGCTTCTACTGCTTGGAGAAGTTCATCAAGTACATCAATCACAACGCATACACGGTCATAGCCATCGACGGGGTGCATTTCTGCAAGGCCGCCAAAACTGTAATTACAAGCACACGCACACTAAAAAAAACCATATATATAATCAATATCTTTCTTAGGCTTTCGAAGTGCTGGTTAGTCACAGCCTCGAAGTAGCGACGATCAACAGCATCGGCGACTTCATCCTCTTCTTGGGTAAATGCCTGGTCACCGCAGTCACCGGCTCCGTCGGCCTGTACTTCTTCAGACTGAACCCAAAGCTGAACTTTTACGCCGCCCCGACGCTTCTCGTCTGCATCTTTTCATTCTTCATCGCCCACTGCATCCTCTCCCTATACGAGGTAAACGAATCGCCGCACGCGTCATCACACACGACAATTTTAAATGAACGCATCAATTGCAGATGGTGCTGGACACGATTTACCTGTGCATGTGCCAGAACAACGACGCGACGGAGGGCATCCAGTTGCAGAACTTCAGCGCTTTGGGCGCGGCCAAAAACGGGAACGCCTCACCGCAGCAGCAAGCCGAACAGGAATTGGTCGTAGAGGACGAGTAAAACACACACACTTACGAAACAACTCAAAGGTAACAAACATACTCGAACGGTCATACTGAAAACGGATATTATCAAACACTATTTGCAAATCGGCACCGAAACGCTGACACAGCACAAACAAACTCTTCTACTACTTCTTCTGCGCTGTTCTCAATCTCAAACCATTTGGATCTGAATGACTTACTTACTTTACGCTTATAAAAAAAAAACAAAACTCACAATATATATATATAATTTTTTATAAATCACTAATTGTTAACCGAGCACAAAACTTTTAACAGTATTCCCATCGTATTACATATATTTACTAGAGATTTATATAACTGTTTATATTTTCAATCGAGAGAAAAGATATTTTTTTTATTGACTTGTTATTAATTGAAATCGGAGAAATATTTTATTAAAACTTATATTATTATTATAATTATGAAACGCGAATCTGTTGTTGTTGTTGTTGGGATCAAAGATTAAGCAAAAACTGCCTTCTCAGATGTAGTAAATCTATATATATATATATTTGTCTTAATGTTATTATTTTTTTTTTGTATTATTGTAATAATTTGATGTTATAGTTTATTATAGCACGAGTGGGTGAAAATAAAAGAAAACGAATGAAAAGTAATTGTAAAGAAGGAAACAAAAATATTTAATTAATAGAAAGAAACTTATTGAAAAGGTTTGGGAGTGGAGAACTTACGCCTTTTTCGCAGTTTTCTTAACCTTCTTATTAGTTTTCATCGTCTTAAATTTAGCCTTCTTGATCACCTTCCCTGCCGTCTTCTTCTCCGCCACCGTCTTAACTTTCACCTTTTTAGGACTCTTTTTGATAACAGCTGCAACTTTTTCTTCTACGATTTTCTTCTCCGCCACTTTCTTCGCAATCTCCTCGGCCTTCTCCGCCGCATCCCCGGTGAATATATCATCCAAAGGCGTCAGCTCGTTGGTCTCTTTAGGCCTGTGCACTTCGTTGTACGCCTTCTTGTGCACTTTATCCGTGTACCTGTTGATCTTCGCTCCCTTCACTATCTCCCTGCGATACCTGCTCGGACTGATGTAGTTCTGATTCTGCCAGAGTGCGTCTCCGGTGAAACTTCCCGAGAAGATCTTCACCGGATTCAAGCAGAATCTGGGCCCGATTTCAGCTAACGCTCCATCTACGGAGAGGATCTGGAAATTCCTGAACCATATCCTGTTGTCGAGGATGGTGAACGTGTAGACGTGATCGAAGAACGGTTGACTCTTCGGGTGATGATTGGGGACGCCGAACACCTGCGTCAGCAGCTCCTTCATCACGCTGTAGTGGGGCTTCTCGTTGAAGAGTGGGTCGAAGCTCAACAAAGGTCTGGAGCCAGTCAAACAGTTGCCGCTGAATTTCAATTCAGCCATCGTGTGAACTGAAGAAAAAGTATTAATTGATCACTCGAATTAGTTATGTTCAGACTCACCATTTTGTACGAGGAACTTGACGCAAGGTCCTTTTGGTATATTCGAAAGCCACATGTACAGATCCATCTGCTTGCGACCCTCGAACAAGACAGCCTTCGAGCAATTCTTCATCTCGCACATCTCATTTACAATCTCCAAGGTTTTGCTCCTCTCCATCTTAGATTCTTTCTTGTGGTGCGGCATCAGCTTCTTCAGGTCCTCCATGAGGTGCCTGTCCCTGTGCCCGATACCGCGCGCCGCAAACACCAGCACCCTCTCCTTGTTTGTCCATCTAACCTACAAATACCAAAAAAAAAACAAAACACGTTCAATACCTTGCGAACAGTTGATATTGAGTATTGTTACCTTCTTTTCTATTGGTTCGTCGGAGACCCTCTTCGCCGGCAACTGCACGTCCTCGACCTTCTCCACCTGCTGAACCTTCGTCACCTTCTTCTTGGGCTTCTGTTTCTTCGCTACACCCATTTTTCACAAGAACCGAAAAAAAAACACGTGTTTACCAAACCAAGAACCTCGCAACAACTGACTGCATAAACAAGGTTAACTACGATGCTCAATTGTCAATTCAATGTGTATGTTTGAGGTTATTACAAACGGTTGCCTACTAAATGAAGAAAGTGGTAACACTGGTGAAACAAAACATACAAATCATGAAAACTTGTTTGGGTTAATTGGTTAAGTTATGTAACCAATTAACCCAAATTAATACCTTTACAATACTGTTATAGTTCTGTCACGTATTCACGTTTCAATCAAAATTGTAAATTAAGAATCTATGGTTGCCTACACGCACTTTTTTCTAAAGTTATTCCAAAAATAACGCTTTATTTATAGCATAGACCCTCACAACTGCTATTATTCATCTCATTTCGATAAATCAGAATTAGAAATATTCATGTAGTATTATTATAACATGAAAGTATATCATTTTCAAGTATGTAAAGTAGTCTATATTGACCATAAATTGATGTTTGTTGGTAGCCCTTTATAAATTTGACAAGTGTTTGGTAACAGCGCGAATTGCTTCCAATTTAATTTTCGAATTTTGCGAATTTGTTGTACGTGATTTCCTAAGTTTTTACGTAAGATGAGTGGTCTGAAGTTATTACAAACGGTTGCCTACTAAATGAACAAAGTGGTAACACTAGAAACAAAAAATTCAAATTATGAAAACTCCTCAAAACTTGTACATAACTTAACCAATTAACCCAAATTAATACAATACAATACTCTTATAATTCTGCAAAGTATTCACGTAAACATTAATAACCAACTAATAACGTTTCAATCAAAATTTTAAAATAAGAATCTATGGTTGCCTACACTTCTTTCTAAAGTTATTCCAAAAATAACGTTATTTTTAGCAAATACCTTCACAACTGTTATTATTCATCTCATTTCCATAAATTACAATAAGAAATATTCATGTAGTATTATTATAACATGAAATTATATCATTTTCAAGTAAGTAAAGTAGTCTATCTTGACCATAAATTGATATTTGTTGGTAGCCCTTTATAAATTTGACAAGTGTTTGGTAACAGCGCGAATTGCTTCCAATTTAATTTTCGAATTTTGCGAATTTGTTGTACGTGATTTCCTAAGTTTTTACGTAAGATGAGTGGTTTGAGGTTATTACAAACGGTTGTCTACTAAATGAAAAAAGTGGTAACACTGGTAAAACAAAACATTCAAATCATGAAAACTTGTACATAACTTAACCAATTAACCCAAATTAATACAATACAATACTCTTATAATTCTGCCAAGTATTCACGTAAACATTAATACAACTAATAACGTTTCAATCAAAATTTTAAATTAAGAATCTACAGTTGCCTACACTTCTTTCTAAAGTTATTCCAAAAATAACGTTGTTATTTTTAGCAAATACCTTCACAACTGTTATTATTCATCTCATTTCGATAAATTAGAATTAGAAATATTCATTTAGTATTATTACAACATGAAAGTATATCATTTTCAAGTATGTAAAGTAGTCTATCTTGATCATAAATTGATGTTTGTTGGTAGCCCTTTATAAATTTGACAAGTGTTTGGTAACAGCGCGAATTGCTTCCAATTTAATTTTCGAATTTTGCGAATTTGTTGTACGTGATTTCCTAAGTTTTTACGTAAGACGAGTGGTTTGAGGTTAATACAAACGGTTGCCTACTAAATGAACAAAGTGGTAACACTAGAAACAAAAAATTCAAATTATGAAAACTCTTCAAAACTTGTACATAACTTAACCAATTAACCCAAGTTATTACCTTTACAATACTCTTATAGTTCTGCCACGTATTCACGTAAACATTAATAACCAACTAATAACGTTTCAATCTAAATTTTAAATTAAGAATCTATGGTTGCCTACACTTCTTTCTAAAGTTATTCCAAAAATAACGCTTTATTTATAGCAAATACCTTCACAACTGTTATTATTCATCTCATTTCGATAAATCAGAATTAGAAATATTCATGTAGTATTATTATAACATGAAATTATATCATTTTCAAGTATGTAAAGTAGTCTATCTTGACCATAAATTGATGTTTTTTGGTAGCCCTTTATAAATTTGACAAGTGTTTGGTAACAGCGCGAATTGCATCCAATTTAATTTTCGAATTTTGCGAATTTGTTGTACGTGATTTCCTAAGTTTTTACGTAAGACGAGTGGTTTGAGGTTATTACAAACGGTTGCCTACTAAATGAAGAAAGTGGTAACAATGGTAAAACAAAACATTCAAATCATGAAAACTTGTACATAACTTAACCAATTAACCCAAATTAATACCTTTACAATACTCTTATAGTTCTGCCACTATTCACGTAAACATTAATAACCAACTAATAACGTTTCAATCAAAATTTTAAATTAAGAATCTATGGTTGCCTACACTCCTTTCTAAAGTTATTCCAAAAATAACGTTGTTATTTTTAGCAAATACCTTCACAATTGTTATTATTCATCTCATTTCGATAAATTAGAATTAAAAATATTCATTAAGTATTAATATAACATGAAAGTATATCATTTTCAAGTATGTAAAGTAGTTTATATTGACCATAAATTTTTGTTTGTTGGTAGCCCTTTATAAATTTGACAAGTGTTTGGTAACAGCGCGAATTGCTTCCAATTTAATTTTCGAATTTTGCGAATTTGTTGTACGTGATTTCCTAAGTTTTTACGTAAGACGAGTGGTTTGAGGTTATTACAAACGGTTGCCTACTAAATGAAGAAAGTGGTAACAATGGTAAAACAAAACATTCAAATCATGAAAACTTGTACATAACTTAACCAATTAACCCAAATTAATATAATACAATACTCTTATAGTTCTGCCACGTATTCACGTAAACATTAATAACCAACTAATAACGTTTCAATCAAAATTTTAAATTAAGAATCTATGGTTGCCTACACTTCTTTATAAAGTTATTCCAAAAATAACGTTGTTATTTTTAGCAAATACCTTCACAACTGTTATTATTCATCTCATTTTGATAAATTATAATTAGAAATATTCATGTAGTATTATTATAACATGAAATTATATCATTTGCAAGTATGTAAAGTAGCCTATATTGAGCATAAATTTTTGTTTGTTGGTAGCCCTTTATAAATTTGACAAGTGTTTGGTAACAGCGCGAATTGCGTCCAATTTAATTTTCGAATTTTGCGAATTTGTTGTACGTGATTTCCTAAGTTTTTACGTAAGACGAGTGGTTTGAGGTTATTACAAACGGTTGCCTACTAAATGAACAAAGTGGTAACACTAGAAACAAAAAATTCAAATTACGAAAACTCCTCAAAACTTGTACATAACTTAACCAATTAACCCAAATTAATACAATACAATACTCTTATAATTCTGCCAAGTATTCACGTAAACATTAATACAACTAATAACGTTTTAATCAAAATTGTAGATTAAGAATCTATGGTTGGCTACACTTCTTTCTAAAGTTATTCCAAAAATAACGTTGTTATTTTTAGCAAATACCTTCACAACTGTTATTATTCATCTCATTTCAATAAATTATAATTAGAAATATTCATGAAATTATATCATTTTCAAGTAAGTAAAGTAGTCTATATTCACCATACATTTTTGTTTGTTGGTAGCCCTTTATAAATTTGACAAATGTTTGGTAACAGCGCGATTTAATTTTCGAATTTTGCGAATTTTTTGTACGTAATTTCGCAAGTTCTTACATAAGATGAGTGAATTGGAATCAGTTGCTTCAACATCATCAATAATTGTTGGAGATCAAGAACAATGTGAAATAAATTTCTAAATTATAGGTAGGTTAACTTTTATTTATTTGTCTTAAGATATATTTAATTCATTTGTTTTTCCTTCCTCGTGCTTCTTCGATTTAGGAAATGACGAACGGATAAGAAAGTCTCTAAGAATTCAAATTTGCGTAAGTGTGGTTGCATAACTTGCCGTAAAAACCGTATTCGCTTCCAAGTTTAACTTTAGTTGTACAGTTGAAGATTAGTAATTGTTTACTGTAATCATCTTATTTGCGAGTGAAAGTCTCTTTTAAATCCATGTTTCAATTTTGAAGTAAATTAGAGTAAAGTATGTTGTCTAAGCTTCATCTAGAGGTAGTGTAAAAAAACGCTAAGTATTAGTAGTTGTTAGGCGGTGATTGTCGAATAGTTTCGAGGAACTGGAGCTGAATCAACATCATCAGCTGTGTGTGTTTTTTGTTCTCTATTCCAATATAGATGTGTGCGAGTTAAAGCAGCAGGATTTACTGTGTCATGTGTCAGTGTGCTAACTGTGAATGGATTAGATCGAAATGAATCAGTGCACTTAACAACACACAACCAGTTGACACTCAATCAGAGCGCTCATCTCGCTCATCTCCATTCCGATAATATCCATCCTCCTCCAGTCGTCGTCCCAATTAAACGAGAGAACATCTGGAATAGAGCAAAGAGGGCTGTTTTTTAAAAGGTGAGCAATAGATGGAATACTTGATTAAATCTCGCATCCCAATAAAGAACAGATTGTCAAGGTTCTATGGTAATAAGGTAAAAGTGTTTGGAAGGATGCAAAAGTTCTTTATCTTTTGCGCAAATTACAACAAAAAAAGTAGTCTTAATTGCTTTGAAAGTTATCCTTTTTTTTTCTTCATTTAGTATTTGTTTGGTGTGTGTGTTTGTAGAGAGAGTGTGTAGGTAAAATATGCGTGGGACAACGTTATCTGGTTTTATTGTTCTGATTATCTTATCGCAGGTGTTTTATTTATATTAGGTGATAATCGAGGATGGACGGACGCAATTACTCAAACAGCAGAAATTGCTTTTTTTTTTGTTCTTCTGTTATTATTTCTGCGATGCAATTTCAGCGAAAACCGCAACTACGAACTTGATGAGAAAGAAAGAACACACAAAAAAAAGTTGGAAATTGAACGTACGCTCGTGCTGTTTATATTGCATAATTTATCGCGCGACTTTTGCCGCTCTTATTTTACATAACAACAAGGTCTGCTTAGATACGTTTTCGATTTGCGTTTGTTTGTTGTTGTTGTTGTTGTTGATAATAATGTTGATTGTTGTCATGGTATTTTTGCAGAGAAGTGACGATGTCGTCGACGCTATGGAAAGTGCTGACGAGGAGGAAGTTCCTGGACCAGGCCAGGGTGGAGCAGTCGAGCCTCGCCAGAGTTTTGAACACGTTCGATCTGACCGCCCTGGGTGTCGGCAGCACCCTCGGCGTGGGCATGTACGTTCTGGTTGGAAAGGTCGCCAAGGAGACGGCAGGACCTGCGGTGATACTCTCGTTCCTGATCGCAGCAATCGCCTCAGCGTTTGCAGGTAAAACAAAATGTAAAAATTTTCAATACAAGATATTGTAATTGCATTTTTGTTTTTGTTTAGGTGTCTGCTACGCCGAATTCGGTGCCAGAACGCCGAGGGCTGGAAGCGCCTACATCTACAGTTACGTGTGCGTCGGCGAGTTCGTGGCGTTCGTCATCGGCTGGAACCTGATCCTGGAATACATAATCGGTTCCGCAATTGTTTTCCCCCTACTTATTGCCATGGTAACTAACTGACTGATTGTTTCAGGTTCGGCGAGCGTTGCCAGGGGGATGAGTCTGTACATAGATTCTCTCGTCAACAACACGATCAAGGACGCTTTCACGGAAATCGCCCCGATAAACGTCAGTTTCCTCTCGCCGTACTTCGATTTCCTCGCCTTCTCGATCGCGCTGATACTCTCAAGCAAGTATTCTCAAGTTTTTGTTCTCGGCGAAGCGGCACACTCTTAACGCAAATTTATTACTTCGACTTCAGTCGGTCTCGCCTTCGGCATGAAGGAGAGCAGCAAAGCGAACAACTGCTTCACCGTTCTGAACGTTCTCGTCGTTCTGTTCGTGATCATCGCCGGATCTTTTAAAGGTAACATATTTTTATTTATCCGATTATCTCTTCTCTTTAATTTCAATTTTTAGCTGATCCCAAGAACTGGAGTCTCCCGCCAAACAACTCGACGGATCCCGAGGACGCCGGTGGATTCTTTCCTTTCGGTGTGAGCGGAATGATCAAGGGTGCCGCGACCTGTTTCTATGGTTTCGTGGGCTTCGATTGCATTGCCACCACCGGGGAGGAAGTGAAAAATCCCCAGAAAGCCATACCCTTCGCCATCATCACCTCTCTGGCAATCGTCTTCATCGCGTACTTTGCTACATCGACGGTCATCACCCTAATGGTTCCCTATTACCTTCAGGTATACTTTTTCTTTCAATTTAGTAACATTTAACACCCTTCCATTGGTAATTAACATTGTTTATTGATCGGTGTTTGTTTGTTTTCTGTGTGTAGGATGTAAACTCTCCTATTCCGTGCGCGTTCGCCGAGTTCGGATGGGATGCGGCGAAATGGATTGTGACGATCGGTGGAATCTTTGCGCTTTTGGCCAGGTAAGAGGATTAGTTCTTTGAATTCCATTGGAATTTTACACCTGTAAATTGATTTTAATTCGTTTGAATTGATTTCAGTTTGTTTGGTGCCATGTTTCCGTTGCCAAGGATAATTTACGCCATGGCATCGGATGGCTTGATCTTTAAATTTCTGGGCAAAGTCAGCGAGAGATTCTCCACACCGGTGACAGGGACTCTCCTCGCCGGTCTCTTAACAGGTAAGTCGATTTATTTGTTTTTTTTTGGTAGCATTACTTTAAGGCATGTTTCCTTTTTCGTCTTTTCCATCTTTCTTTTGCTGGAAGAGATAATAGATAGAGAAAGTATGAATAATGATAGGATTTTCGATTGCCACTCACCCCCTAAGCATGATCACCATTAATTCGTTTGGCTTCCTCTCCCTACTGTAGGAACCATGGCTGCTTTATTTGAACAGGGACAGCTTGTAGACATGATGTCGATCGGGACACTGCTAGCGTACACTATCGTCGCAGCCTGTGTGCTGCTCCTCCGGTAAGAACACACGGGCTAAATATTATATACCTGCACGCATTTCACGTTACTTGCAATTCCTGTATACTAAATCTCTTACTTAGATATTCTGTAGACGAGGCCAATTATACGCTGGTTCGAGCTGACTCGGACTCCTCCGTGACTTCGTAAGTAGATTTTTAGTTAACTTTATCCAAGCATGTTAACAACTATTCTTATAATTTAGTTCTCAGCTGCGTATAGTTGATTAATTATGATTATTTCTGTTTTAGATACACGGAGGATATTAGCGATCCCAATCTTCCAGTAACTTTCGCGAGTATCGCCAAGCAGATGTTCAATTGCACTGGGCGAAGGGATCAGCCGACCAAAGTCTCCGAGAAACTCGTCTCTATATTGGTCGTTTTCTTCTGTAAGTTCATATAGTTTAAAAATTTGTGCGATTACAACTTGCAACGTTTCAGGTGTATTGTGCGTGCTGCTGGGACTGTGCTTCATGTACTTGTTGGAAGAAATCTCGCACGGTGTGGCGTACGCTATAGTTCTTCCGGCTGTGATTGGTTGCTTGATGATCATCACGTTGATGATGATCGGGTCTCAACCGACGTCGAAGAGGACGTTAACTTTTAAGGTAAACAACTCAATTAGTATCCCGTTGAGGATGTTTAAAATGTGATTGATTGTAGGTGCCTCTGGTGCCGGTGATACCAGCTATTAGTATATTGGTGAACGTTTATTTGATGTTATCCTTGGACTCGAGCACTTGGATCCGGTTCGGCGTTTGGATGGGAATCGGTGAGTAAACTTTTTTTTTTTTTGACGGGCTCACCTTCTCCACCTCCCGATTAGAATAACCTTCTCTTTTCCCACTCTCTTCTTTAATTTATTATTTCTTCTTTCAAATTTTGTGAATAACTGCATGTGTTTTTGCATGATCCTCCTACACCCCCCGCAAATGCAACCTAGGCTTGCCTCTTTACCTCTATTCAGCACTCTCTTACGAAAAGGCCAATCCTAACACAAAGCCGCCGAAAGCTTACTATTTTAACTTTGCCTACGTGCATGAGGGTAGTAACTGCGATCTGAAGACTCACAATAATAACATCATCAACAACAACAACAATAACAACAACAACAATGACGGCGACGAAGAGGTGAAGAAGTCGAAGAAGAAAAGCAATGGGTTGGAGGGAGGAGGCTTGGCGAATGGAGGAGGGAACACGATCAATCAGGTGATGGCCAATCTGGATAAGATCCTCGAGGATCAGGAGGAGGCGTCCGGCTGGCGAGACGAGGCATCGCAGAAGAGCGTTGTAGCACTGGTCCACAGAGAAGATGAGGTTGAAATTCCCGCAGTCGAATTATCAGTTTCCTCCCGTATGGAGGAGGTGAATTTGGATCATAGCGGCGTGGCAGAAGTCGTGGACGAGTTGAGGCGGATCGTCCAGATGGAGGAGGAGAAGATGATTTCGGAGGCGGCCAATGATACGGTCATAGAGGTAATAGAAGATCCCTTCGATTCGGACGTCGATCAGCAGCTGGAGGTGGTCGAGTTCAAGAACGTGGGGATCGGAAGCGAAAGCAATACGCATGATATTACTGTTAATTATACGGACAACGAAAGAACGACGCCTCCACCGCCACCGCCGATGGCGGATTTCGAGAAATTCATCTTGAGTAGTGGTGATAATAGTATGGTGGAAGTTGTTGTTGGAGGAGCAGCAGCATCACCTCCGCCTCCTCCGCCGCCGATCACGGGGATGGCGAAATTCATGATACCCAGAGTGAATTCGAACGCGAGGAAGAAGCTGAAACCGGTCATTCCATCGCCCGATTACAAGAGCACATTGAGGAAGAAACCGTTCGACGACGTGGAGGACGTCGACGGAATCATAGAGTTCGGCAGCAAGCAGCACGACAAGATCAAGGAGAAGCTGATGGATATAATCAAGAACAAGGTGACCGGACTGCCTCCTCCGCAGAAGCTGACGAGGAGCGATTCGTCCGCGACGCAGCCGCCTCTCATTCCGAAGAAACCCATAATGGATAAACTCATCTCGGAAATACCGCGCGTGTCGAACGCCGGGGAACCGAAGACGATGGCCGTAAATGAAAGCAAAGATGATGACGGTGACAACGATAACGATGTGTCGAGAGAGGATTTCAAGAAGAAGCTGAACAATCTGTTCGGCACTGTTAACAGGACCGAAAGATCGAAGGTGACGGCTTCTTCTTCTGACAGCCTCAGGAACAAGACGTTTCCGAGTCACCGTCGCGATTCTGCCGATCACCAGGAGAACCACAGGCAGTTGATGAAGGGCGCCTTCAGCAGTATTATATCTCGAGCGGCGGAAAAGCCCGAAGACGACGACGACGATGACCGACCAATCACAACCACCACCAACCCACCAAATTAATATTATTACTAAACGAGAGTCGATTACGCTTCAACAACAACCTTTACAATGTTATTATTATTATTTTTGTTGGATGTTGTTATTATCTCATACTATTTTTTTTTTTATTTTTTTTTAAAAACTAATTTCTACTCAAATCCTAAAATGATATTAGTAAAATGTAAATTGTAATCGCAGAACGTTATTTCAGGTTTTTCCATATACGGACTGTACGGTCTTCCAAATAGTTATAGAGATTATGAGAGATTAGATTAATGTTAATTGAAAAATATCATAACGTGTGCCGTGTGTGTGTGTGTTGTCATAACAACGCCAAAAAACGAATTCTCTTCGCGCACACAAAAACACGCACTAGATTAATTTTTAAAACAATTTTAATGTCTATTTATATATATATATATATTCATCAGTGTATCTTCATCTTACATATATATATTTATATAGAAAGAGGAAGAGAGAGAGAGAATTATCTATTTTTTAAATAACGAATGTTGAATATATCAAAATATCTATTATTTATATTATATTATACATGAAATATCTATTGTGAACTAAATATGCCAAACAAAATAAATAAATTATATTTAAAAAAAAATAAACAAATTGTATCATTATAAACTATTTTAATACACGGACGTACGTTGGGTTGCCTAATCGGTATACGTGGCGCCATCTTTCGGCATTTATACGCAACTAATTTGGCGCATTTATTTATATTCGAAAACGCGCTCGCAATTTAATTATACTAATTATGAAATAATGAAAGGACAAGAATTGTTTTTTTTTCAGCAGAATTTATTGTGCAACAAAACAAATAATATCTCGGTCGCGAAGGAACGAACACAGAACGAAACGAAACAAAAAAAAAGTAAGAAATCCTAAACTAAACGAAAAACAACTATAATTTTTCCATTCACATATTATATCATCATTAAATATAATATACATACATACATACATATATTGCAACATTTTTGTTTGTTTGTTTGTTTTGAAAAATCCTGACTATACGACTAATAATAATAATAATAATATTTTCGTGATGCACCACATTCACATAAATAATAATAATAACATTGCGTATTAAATATATGATCAAGAGTAAAAGAAGAAATTGAAAAATAAAGTTTATGCTTTCTTTGATTAAATATAAATACGTATAAAACTTACTTCTCATTCTTTCTTTCATTATTATATATTTGTTTGTTTGTTTTTCTATTTATTTAAGGCCTGTAACTAAATATATTTCGACCAAACATCCGGACATAAACTGTAGTCGAACTGTTGAACAGCGGTTTCGGTTTCGAAGTGGCAGGTTTTTAGAGATTTTGGAATATTTTCCTCAGGCTTATTATTTATGGGAATATTCTTATATCATTAACAGCAAATGCAGAGACGACCTAAGAGATATCTGGAATAGATATTGAACAGAAAGAGTATTTAGCTTCCCATTCCTTTCTTCCTTATTTTGATTGATTGATTTGTTAATATCATCTTATAATCTTCGAGTGGTTCACATAATCACAAGCACACACGTTAAGCGAACGTAAGTAAGCCGAGGAGGAAACCGAAGTGAAATGATATGTACACGAAAAAACACTCGAGTATACTCGAACCGAAGCGAAAAGGTGGTGCGTATTTTGAAGAATACAAAAAAAATAAGCAAGCACATAGATGCAACGACAAACGAAGCAAATACACATGTTGTGCTGCTTTCTTCTTTTTACCATACGGACTAAACAATAATAATAGTAGTAGTAGTAGTGTGTGATCAATTTGCTGCAAAAACTTAAAAAAAACGAAACAAAATCAGATCTCCCCCCCCAACCCCGTCGCACGCGCACTTACGCACATATACATCAAGACATCATCAACCACGCAGGCCGCAAGAAGCTCGAAAGCGAATATTCTTACAGGATGACGCACTTCAGTTTCTTTTTCTTACTGGTGTCCTTTTTCTTGCCGTTGCTCGTCTTGTTCTCCTCCATCTTTCGCGCTCTGATCTCGCGCATCAGATCGAAGAATACCTACAAAGGAAGATTGATATATCGCAATCAAGACTGCTGCTGCATGTTATTGCATAGTTTCCATGACAACAATTACCTTGTCGACGTGTTCCCTGGTCTTGGCCGATGTCTCGACGTAGGTGACGCCCCACTGTTTAGCCCTGTCGCTGGCCTCCTGGAAGGAGACCTTCCTCTTATCCTCCAAATCGCACTTGTTGCCAACCAGCAGAAACGGGATGTTCTCGTCGTTCTTGACGCGCAAAATTTGCTCCCTACAAAAACGGAAAACAATTAACAAATAACAACGTTTTCGTATGCAACCAAATGAACTCTCACCGAAACTCTTGCGTGGCCTGGAAACTCTCGTCCTCGGTGATGGAGAAGATGCAGAGGAAACCCTCGCCGCTTCTGAAGTAGTTGTCGCGGATGGCGGCGTAGTCCTCCTGCCCCGCCGTGTCCAGGATATCAATCTGAACGTCTTCGCCGTCGAGCAGGATCTTCTTCCTGTACGAATCGGCCTTGGTGGGTTCGTAGTCCTCGACGAATTCGTCGTACATGAACTGAAGGGTGAGGGCGGACTTGCCGACACCGCCGCTCCCGACCATTATCACCTTGTGCAGGGCCGGCTGCACCGTTGGCTTCTTCGACATCCTTTCTGCTTTTTTGTTTGCTACAAAAACACAACACTTTTCACTCAACATCCACCACAGCAACAATGATTCACACTCACCTCTGTTTATTTGTTTTTCCTCCAATTGTTTAGTTTCGATCTCGGCGGCGGTGGCTATGACTTCCTGTGCGTTGCTGCTTCTGTTTCTGATCACCTTTTAATTACTCTTCCTCACTACAACCACTACTGCTTCTGCTGCTGCCTTCTAATCCCACCACCCACTTATGGAAAAACTGTTATTCATCAATTAGGCGTGTGCAGAAAAACACGAACAATGCTAGCAATTTGTCATTGTTGTTTTCGTCTAATGTCACTTGACCTGCCAACACCTATTAGAACAATTGCACAACAGATACCTGCATTACCGACAACACTCTACTGTCACGAAGATAGATGGCACCTGCATTCAATTTAAATTTTCATCACAATATCGGAAAACTAGCAAATCCATTAATCCCAACAGATTAGTCCAGCGTTTTTCAAACTGTGAGGCGCGAATATTAGTAGCAGTGAGCAATTTTCCATTCATATTGCTGTAATATGCGTTCAAAGTTGAAAAATTGAAATTAGAACGTTCGAAAAAGCAGTGTTTTCATATTTCATTGATTTACTCGAAAATTATAATACATAGAATGAATCCAAAAGATGCATATGAAAACTGAATGTTTGGGGAATCTAGAA